TCCCCAAAACAATGAGCCAGATGTTCTGTTTTGATATAAGGGAGAGTTTGCAAATACTCGTGCGTCATGTACACTACCAGGCCAGCCAATTAAAATGTCTATAAATCGATAGCTGCTATCGACAACTGCTTGCATAATAATAGAATAAAATCCTTTTCTGTTGTAGTAGTCAGTATGACAATCGTGTGGTCGAATAATAGGAATGTGTGTACCATCGATTGCACCCAGAACTTGAGGAAAGCCCCAACGCTGTTCAAAATTTCGGACATTTTTCAGACATCAGGTCACCAACAGGCCATTTAATGAGGTCTTGGCTCATTTCCGAGACAATGGCAGAACAAGTCTGATGAACGATGACACAGACTGTGTTTTTAGCAACACCGAAAAGATGTCCTATTGTTCTGTAGCACGCGTTGGTAGCCAGTTTCCAGAGGGTGATCGCGACTCGTTTTTCCACGCTGATCGGCTTTCGCATGGCAGTCATTACCCGTGAGAGGGATGGGCGAAGCTTCTCGCACAAATATACGAATGCTTCCCTGCTCATTCTGAAGTTAGCTATCCAGTCTGAATGAGCTGAATGAGTGAACGAACCATTGACAACTCTGTCCCACCAAAAAGAACTGCGTGTCTTCATCCATGTGGTTTTCTCGACGTTTGGTGACGCCATGGCGACCGTCCACATGGCCTTGAACGCCACGAAGTCGTCCACTTGTTGCTGAATAAATCGAAGGATACCTTGTTTTCGTGCTCTTCTGTATTTCAGCAATCTTTCTTTTCTCTCTCTCCTGCGGTGTCTGATATTCGACCACATCGTTGATTTCTCCGGAGAAGAAGCCATTTTTGTCACGAAGAAAAAGGTGGCGAAAGGGTACTACCTTTTCTCCGCCTTCTTCTTTCTTTACGCATGCGCATGTTTTACTTACGCATTCCTGTCGTTTTGGTCCGCAGCAGAAATTGCACGTGTGACCGCAAGTGGAGCTGCTCCGTCGCTGCGCCGGAGCTGTCACGCTCAGCGGCTTTGCACGTGTGACCGCTCCACAAAATTTGCTCCGGTGTAAAATATATCGCAGCAAAATATTTCGGTGCAGCGTCAGACCAAATGTGTGCCGTGTGAACAGGGCTATTAACTCAAAAAAAACTAGTGGGTTTGCATGCATTGGTGAAAAAAGTCAGAGCATAGACTCTCTAATGTTTGGCAAGTCTTCTCTTGGGTAAGTAAGCGGTGTAGGGAGCACGTAACACAAGGGAGCATGTAACCAAGGCAGCCACTCGTACGGACGCCATCTTGGTAACAAACAAAACAAACAAAAAAAAACAGGATTTGCAAATCATTGTATTCTGTTTTGATTTATGTTTAACATAATGCCCCAACTTCGTTGAAATTAGGTTTGTACCTGTGAGTTTTGGAAAATACCAAAAGAAAGAAAACTCCACCCATGTGCATAGTTAGACTTCACTTTGCGCTTAGACTAGCACTCGGCACAAAACATAGGGCCCATACAATGGCGTTTTGAAAAGATTGTCGTTCGAAGTTCTCGATCAAAAATGTTGTAAAACTGGCTGATTTTGTCCTTGGGGATATTACTATGTGCCAGGAAGAACTGGAAAGAAAACTAAAACGATAGCTGAGCACAGGACCCAGCCTCCTCCCAAAAATGCAACATCAAATGCAGTAAGAAAACAACGTTAAAATATCTGTTCACTAAATTCCTTCCTGCTTGCCTCTGTTGATCCTCTAGCGGGAAAGCCCTTCGTTGGTGGCGGAAACGCACATGAGTGACCCAATGGAGAGCAAGGAAAACAAGATGGATCAGGAGGGGCCTCTGCAAAACCACTTGACACCCACTGTCCTCAGCAAGCCCGTGAGACCCCACAGATGGAAAAGAGGCAAAGGCCAGGTTGGTAAACTTTACAATTTTGACATTCATTGATTGCCAATCTTTTTTTTCCTTATATTTTAAACAGTTCCATGTACATATGTAGAGATACAGTATGTGTAGAGTACACACACACTGTAACCTTGACGTATGAATTTAATTCGTTCTGTAACCATGCCCACAACTCAAATAATCTTTATGTCAAATTAGGGAAAAATGGAAACGCCACTAAAACATTTCAGCCCAGTGGCGGGCCATGCATTTCAACCTTAGGCCTTCAGTGACGTCACATACATACACAATATAGGCTCGTCAAGCAGCACTTAATTTCAGGAGCATTTAAAACCATCAAGTATGTATTCCCAATTAAGAGCAGGAAACTAAATTTACAGATATTGTCAAAAATCAAAAGATGATTGAAAAATACGAAATAAAATGCCACCCAAATTACACTGTGTGATCTTAAACAAGTCTGTCCAATAAATTGCGCAATGTCGCGGTTTCATATAAGACACCAACCAAACAATAACAAAACAAACTATTCTTTGAAAATAAACAGATCATTTGCATTTTGAAAATCGGCGATACAACAGCAAATAACTGAAAATGTTGAGCAGCTGAGATTGAACGAACTTTCGTGCACGAAGGTGAC